GGGGGGGGCTGGGTGGGCTGCAGCCCCCCCCCAATAATTTGCTAATAATCATTCTTTTTTCAAAATCATGGTAACTTGAAAATCATGCAAGCTATAACGCTGTTTTCTGACCATCAGAAATATGTCAAATCTTCCCTAAGTCCAGGAAATGGCATTTCAGAGACTCTAAATTTAAAATTTCCTCTATAAGTGTCGCGCTTGCGCGCTCCCTAATAAAAAAGACCTTCTTACGGCACTGAGCTTGAAAAATGGCCCTTCTTATGAGTTGATTGGCAAAGTAATTCAACGTTGTCTAAGATCAAAGCCAGAGTTTATGTAAATGAACATGATTTTTTATCACATATAAAACCATCCACACGGCAGTGATTTCCTTTGTCTTTTCCTCATGAATTATTAATGAGTTTTTAAATAAATTTATAACAGTCTTATATTAGGAACGGAGACAGTACAGATGGCTGTCAAGTACGTATAAGTCAAACTCTAGAATCTAGAAGAAGCTCGGTGACTGCATGAACAAAGTAGTAGAGCATTCATTTTTGCATAATTAGCGTATATTATACAGGCACTAAGAATTATGCATTCAGCTCTTTTAAGCTCGTCAAAACGAGCCAAACTTTTGTAAATTTCTCAAATCAAAATTGAATCAAACTATCGATTTGACTTTCAAACACACACACAAACGATAATTTTTTACCCGGGAGATAAATAACCGTAGGGACAAATTTCCTATATCGCAAAAACAAAGTTCACCCTGGGGTAATGTTTAGTTATTGTCACTCATCTGAACTGTTGGAATCCCCATCGCTACGTTAATAAATACCTGTCCAATAACAATCAGCTCATGGCCTTATACACGGTGGGGCTTATATTCGGAATGGCCTGAGTGTTAGTGAATTTGGCGGGCTTATAAATAGGGGGCTTATATTTGGGGGGGCCTTATATTCGGGGGGAGGGGTTTATATTCGGGGGAAGGGGCTTATATTCGGGGGTTTACGGTAGGAGCTATAGTGTGGTTTCTCGTGCAATTTGGAAAAACAAGCACTCGTAAGTTTTTCAAAAACAACGTGCAACGTGATCTTTTGGCTATTTATAAGTTTATTGCCCCCCATGCTTTGCAAATTGCGCAAATTGATGAAGCAATTTCTTATTAATAGGCCGACCCCTAGTCCACCCCGATATTGATTCCTTCCGAGAAAAAGACAATAAGAACCGAGTGATCAAATGCCAGTTTAACTTTCAGTTGCTGTTTGAGTGTAAGGATCGGATTCGTTAAGGTAAGAAGCCATATCCTATTATGTAGTTAAAAGTATTTAGTGTGAACGTGATTAAACATGATCGTAACTGATATGACATTTATAAGCATACTACGATATAGTCTGTCTGTGAGTCTTGTGAATGCATGAGTCAGCGAGTCTGTGACGCAAGCTGTTTTAAGTCGTACCTCGGATGTTCTCTGCTACGCGTCGTTTAAACCGCTTGTGTATGAAATCACTAAATCTCATATGATAATTAATAAGAGAAAGTTACTGCCATTTATGACAGCAAAATAGGGATGATTATGCGCAATGTTTTCTGTCGTGTTTTCTCCGAACCATTTGACACCTTATACTTTATAATAATCCATTGTAAACATTATTTGTCATAATTATTCAAAACTACTTGTTAAACATGCCAAATATAACATATTCTAGCCGTTTCATCTATGTCTAGGCCGTTTTGAAACGATTCCATGCAATATTTCTTTGTGTGCTTAAACAAACAAAGACAAATGGTTGCTGAGTAACCGATTATAATCCCCCCCCCCCAAACAATTTGGACGGGTAATCTATAATTTACCTTCATTGAAGAAAAAGGGCAACATTCAGATCTCCGTTAATATGTAACAAGTTTTTCTATACGTAAACGCAAAGTTGTTTATGTAAATAAACAAAGCAACGAGTCTTTAGTCAGTCTTTTTCATATTTTAATATGATGAGCGTCTTCCGGGAAATTCATCAACTCAAGCTGGCTGGCATATATGTCAATAATTTGTCTGCCAGCTGCGACTTACGGAATATGACATAGTTTAGCAACATGTTTTAATACAAATCGTTAAACGTTGTTCTTTGAGAATTATCCTCAAAGAAACATTTTGAATTAGTGCGTTTTATTTTTACAACAGATTTCTTGAAAGGCATATAGCTTTTAAAACTAAAGTCAGAATACATCAAGTTACCAATTAAGTCGTGCTGCGTGCTTGCGTTGCTTCGCAAGGTTGTCCAAAATATTTTCTCCTTTAAAGTGAAGACCAGAATTAGAAAGGATGAGTCTTCCTTAAGATAATTTTGTCCAACTTGAAAGATATTGAAGACAAAGTACGAAGTGAGAATATGAAAGAACAGCTTGCGAATTGTGGTTATAATTGGTTTTACTTATTTACTTTACTTGGCCCTAGAAAATAGAAATCTTAACAGGCTTTTGATTTAGGCCCAGTAGTAGGCATGTATGACATATGTCAATATACGGACATCTGCCAGTTGCAAATTACGAAATACGGCTGTAGCAACAGTGTTTTAATCTGATCGTCCTCAAAGAAACATTTTGAATTAACGCGTTTCATTTTTACAACATATATACTATCTTTTAAAGCCGAAGACAGAAAAGATCAAGTTACTAATCAAGTGGTTGTCCCCCTAAATGAAGGATTAGAAAAGACGATGAATCCGCCAAATTACCTTCCGCTCCTTCGCGACATTTTCTACTTCTTGAGATATATTGCGCACGAAGTAGGAACAAACCTGAATTTTTGTCTGAGAGCAAAGGAACAGCTTAAGGAATGCGGTTATGACTGGTTTGATGATATTTCAGACGAACGTGTCAAGGAACAAGTAATGAAAGTATTTGCTGTGGCAGTAAATGAGGCAATTCAAAAGAAAGTAGATTTGACTGGAAATGAAAACCCGTCGGTGGTAAATCAAGAATTGAATCAACTACTCGGCATTGACGATCAAAAATTACGGAATCGCTTCTTGGACGTTCCATTATGGGACGAGAGGCTCGTAAATGAAAAGTCTCCTCTCGACATGGCAGATTACCTAAAGAAAGATGCGCCACAGTGGTTGGCGAAGAAAATGATCGAACATCAATTTGATATAAGATGGAACACACCCACCGGCGAACCAGATGATTATACATTTTACCAATTCTGCGACAAGGCGGAAAAAACAACCAAGCCCAAGGACTTTAAGTTCTTTAAGTATGATCCACGGCAGGCTCATGTTAAAACAATGCTGTACAAAGAGTGTAGAAGTAAACGCGTGCATTATCTGCAGAGTATTACCAAGAAAGAGCAATTATGTCCCATTGTGTATGTACTAACTACTCGCGGGTGGAAATCATGGCAGGCAAACAAAACAGACAAATTTAACCAAGTAAGCAATATGGATTTTCCCGACTGGATTAACACGTCTATTCTCAAGTTTATTGCAGAAAATGCTGATGAACAAGTTGGGAACCGAAAGGATATTTTAGCTAAACCTACCCTTTATTGGGTAGTTGTGAACGACAGAGATTTCGAACCTGGTAACAAACTGAAATTGAAGTCAATTGGTCAAACACAAGTTTACGTTGGCAAAGCAAACAACGGAATTCAAGGACGATGGATTACAGACGGTAAGAGCCATTGTGAAATGATCAAGAAATGCTTGGACAACGTGTGTGCCATGACGACCTATGATCCGTTGAGATTGGAAGGAATTCAACTGGTAGATGCCAGGCTAGCGTTAGCCAAAGTTAGAGGGGAGAGAACTGCTTTATTTGTGATCAAAACCTTTGGTGATGCTGTCGAAAAAGCAGAAATAGCTCTACAGAAAGCTCAAGTACGTTTGAATAAAGCTCAAAGAGATGTGGATAGTGCTACAGCACCTTCGCGTACGCAAACAGCATACCCATGTATCACACCAGGACCGGTTACAATGCCATACCAGTATAACCCACCAAGACCGGTTACGATGTCATACCAGTATAACCCAACAGGACCGATTACGATGCCACCCCAGTATAACCCAGCAGGACCGATTACGATGCCACCCCAGTATAACCCAGCAGGACCGATTACGATGCCACCCCAGTATAACCCAGCAGGACCGATTACGATGCCACCCCAGTATAACCCAGCAGGACCGATTACGATGCCACCCCAGTATAATCCAGCAGGATCGTGTACGATGCCACACCAGTATATCCCACCAGGACCGTTTACGATGGCACCCCAGTATAACCCACCAGTATATCCCATCATGCCACAAACAAGCCCTTTAAATACAACATCTTCGCGAGAATCCAGTCGATTACAGGAATTAGAGGCAGAAGTAGAGAAACGACAGGAGGAATTGGACGAAGCCACAGCTGTTGACAATGATCCAAAAACAATTAGGAAAGCGAAGGCCGAAACTCAACTTACACAAGCAGAGAAACAGCACCGAAAGGGTAAAAGAGTCCACGAACCCTGGAAGAACATTATTCCGTATAAGGACTACCAGATATCATGGAAACCAACCGACATGGGATATGGAATGAACTGTCATTAACATTCACTATCGCGAAAATATAATAAGAATTAGGAGAACATACGGAACTTCTGGAATGCACAGTGCATTGTGGGATACGCGTAGATCAATAATTCATTGTTGAAAAATTACCGGTGACGTAATCACTTCTAAGGTAAATAAATAACTTACTATTTTTTACTTGTAACTGTGATCATTTTATGAGCTGTAGACATTTACTAAAACGAATAAACAGTTTCAGATTCCTGCTTACGAAATGAACTGTTCAAGAACGCGTCTGACTATGATGACAGTCTCAAAGCTTGGGTGGTTGACAACGTTGCTTGCAGCGTTGCATATAAAACAGTTTTGAAGTACTGCACCTCAATGTGAAAAAGAACATTTATATGTTTTATTAACTTTATGTATGTGATTTTAACTCTGTAATTCTATCTTTTTACTGCAATGACAATGTTGATATTTAGTCGTTAGAAATTATACTCATATCAACTTTGAGGCACTTTTTGTCTATGCAATACCATATTACACGATAATTTTTGCTGCTGCAGCGCTGCTAAGTTTGCACGCAATTTTTGAAATAAAAATCGCTTGCAAACACGCATGTCTCTGGGCCGAAATTGCATTGTAAGTTGCAGCAAAAATTGCCTCGCGTAACATAGCCTTTTATAATACAGCATTTGTAAATTCTGAACGCTGATTGGCTAAGAATCGTGTTGATATAACTCAATGTCAACACGGAAAAGTCGGAAAATTTCTTTCTTTATATTTCTTTGTGCTATATTATAAAACAAATATAAAACATTCCACACAATTTTTCGTTTTCCCAATTTCCACTCGTGTTGATATAACTGTATATCAACACGGAAAATGTTTTATATTTGTTAATTATAAAATAATCTTTTAATAACGCCTGCGCTGATTGGTTGAAAAGCGAAAAATCCCGTGTTTCTATAACGCTATCGAACACGGGAATTTTCCACGAACCTCAAAACAACACACTAAAACAAACGTTTTCGCCTGAAATATCGATTAAAAATCTTCGTCAACCTGAAATTTTGTTAAACAAGCAATGGAAAACACTTACCAAACGTTTTTTCGCTTTATATTTGCTTTAAATCAACTTTTTCAGCGTGTTTTTTTCCATAATTTTGCAGTCGGCAAAACTGAAAATTGATGCCGGCATTGTTGCTAGGCAACATTTTCTTGTTATTGTGTAATGAGAATATACTTTTTAATCGCGTGAAAAATATTGTTTTTGTGTTATTATCACAAGGTTATTTAATAAAGGAAATAGAAAACATTTTTTTCCTGGGTTTCTCTAGCGTTATAGAAACACTTGTGCTAGTTTGGGAGAACTCGAAATAACGTGGAAACACTCGCACTACGTGCTCGTGTTCCCACTGATCATTTCTCGTTCTCCCAAACTAGCACGCGTGTTTCTATAACTCTATAGAAACACGGAAAATGTTTTCTATTTCTTAAATGTTTTAAATATTAATATACAGTCACTATTATTATATGCTTCAGCTCTTTTAT